TCGCCCCGCCGGAGAACCCCACCGCCCCCGCAAGGGGAAGGAGGACGTGCTTCGTCTGCGGCAGCGATGAACACATCGAGCGGGCATGTCCGCGGAAGACAGCCGCAATGAAGGGAGGACCAACAACACGCTGCTTCGTCTGCGGCGAGTGGCACCACCCAACAGAATGCACTTGCGTAGCCACTGTTTCATGATCAAAAAGAAAAAAAAGAAAGAAGAATAGGTTCAAGATTGCTGTAACCACCAAGGATCAAAAAGAAGATGTCCAATATATATATATATATATATATATATATAACCGTAAAAAAGTAATACTTTGGAGTGAGATTTGTTAATTTATCTGTAAACTATAATTATTAGTATTGTTTTTCTTTTCTTTTTTTTTTTTATTGGTGGGGGTTCCTTTGACTCTGCTGTTTACTACTGCATTCCTGTTTTAATTTTTTTTTTTTTCATTCTTCTTTTAACTATTTTTATTAGGCTTGACAAACAAGTCGTGTGACCAACGTAGCAGCTTGCATTGCTTTTTTTTATTAATTGTTTTAAGGAAAAGTGGTATCTGAAAAGTTATTTCTGTACATTATGGATAGTAAGTCAATGGTGGATCCATCAGAGTTTGGACGTAATGTATATGTGGCCAGTCTTCCTCTTAGTTTTGATGATGATCAGCTATTTAATCTTTTTGCTCCATATGGTTCTATTAACTCTGCACGGATTATGCGATCGAAAGGAACACGGCAGTCAAAAGGCTACGGCTTTGTTTTGTACAAAAATCCACGTTCTGCTGAACTGGCCATATCAAATCTTGTTGGGCATGTAATAGATGGAAACAGAATCCAGGTCCGCCTAGCACATCCTGACGCTTCCATTGCATACACCGGTCATCGAGGATCGAAAAGTAACAGCTCTACACCAAGCAGTCGTACTTTGCAGGTATCAACAACTACGCCGCAGCCGCAGCCGCAGTTACCAACAGAGGCACTTCTACAGACTCAGACGATGGTATCGCAGTGTACAGATCCTTCTATGATGATGCCAACATACCCTGTTTCCGCACTTTACCCAACAATGTACCCACCTGTGGTTCCTTCTGTTGTGAGCACCGCCTCTGCATCTCCTATGCCCAATGTTTTTACACCACAAGTAATGTTAGTTCCACAATTTAATTCAAATATGCAGCAGATGACAGCCCAGCCAACGTTTTACATGGTGATTCCGGATAATGGAACAACAAACCCTGCTCTCGTGTAATAAAAAAGTATATAAATCACTCTCTTTTTATGTATTTGTATGTATTTATGTGGATGTGCGTATGTAAATGTATGTATACCTTCACTAGAAGGTTGTAAAAAATTTTCTTCTTTTTTTTTTTCTTACATATCACGTTACAAAGGCAATGCCACTTGTTAATCAATAAAGAGGTGCATTTTTTTGTATGTAAAAAAAAAAAAAAAACGATTGTCCTAAACTGGAACCTCCCATTATTTATCTTACCATTACAATTTGTGTGAATACTGTAAAGGAAAAAAAGAAAGGAACAGGAAGGCATGAAATAGGGAGGTACGAGAGTAATAACTACTTGCAGACAAACAAGGCCACTAAAATGCACACCAATGTCAAAAAAAAAAAAAAAAAGAGAGGGAAGTTCAATCAGAATATAGCCCGAAAATTCTTCTTTTTTCTTGATATCTCTTTATTACATGCTTTGGAGTGACTTCTTCTTTTTCTTTTTTAAATGCTTGTTTTGCTTCTATATATACATCACACATATACACCCACCCACATCCACACACTCTTTTTTTTCTCCTGCTAACCGAAAAATGGGTTGAATCAATGTTTCCTTCTTATTTCCACAGACACTCTATTTGTGGCTATGACATCATTGCCAAATAACTGAATTTTTTTCCTTCGTTTTAAGCGTTGAACGATGGTTAGAAAATAGAGAAAAAGAAAGAAAGGAGATTCAGTTTTGTTGTTCGATTATAAATAAAAAGATGACAGTGATCATTCTGATACGACGACAACGCATCTTTTTACTTTTGGTTTTTTATTCGTCAGGAAGGAAAGGAAAAACATATTGAGACACAACAGAACGGAGAAAAAGAAAGGGTACAGAGTGTAAATATATGTATTAACACGCGCATGTGTCGTGACGTTTGCAATTGTGGAACAATAGGTTATCTGCGTGTTAATAAGATAATATAAACGAGTAATTCGTGATTTTTTTTTTATGTTTTTTTTTTTCCTTCCTTTTTCATAGTTTCAGTGGAATAATCAATGGAAAGATGTAAATTTCTGTGTTAATATGGAGAAGAAACACTAAGTGGAGTGGAGAATTAAAATTTTTTTGTTTTTCCTTCATGTCTTTTTTTCCCATTACCCTGGGCCTTCTCGTATGCATGAGATCTACTTTTTATATATATATATATATATACATGGAACAAGGATGCACACTGTCGAAGATGAAAAGGAAACGGTGAATAGATATCCTTGACAAAAACAAGAGTAACAAAGGTGCAACAAGAGAAAATTATAAAATGGAAAAAAGAAATACTTAAGAAAAAAGACATAAGAAGAAAGGTACAGAACCAAAAAAAAAAGGCAATACACATTTTAAGGGATTTCCAGCAAAAGAAAAAAAAAAAAGTACAAAAAAAAATGCTACTAATTGAATCCCTTGTGTTTTGCCTGTGATCTATGGTTCTCATTTAAATATCATTCACTTGTTTTTTTTTTTTTTTTATGCTACACAGCCTCTTATTACCTCCCATTATAACTTACCATGGCACATCATCAAGTCAGTCTTTAATTATTGATTTTTATCCCTCGTTTGTATTTTCTCACATTTTTTGCTCTATACTTTCATTCTCATGTCCTTTTTTTCCATTCCACGAGGTTGGCGAGAAATGAAGCTATTCTTCAAGAAAAGCAGTCAATTGATAAACCTTTTACAATGTTTGATAATTTCATTATATACTTCTGTGCAACAATAGGGTGTCAGAAATATTATACACCCCTTTGAAATGATAGTTTTTGAGCATTGTGAAGTGGTGAAAGAAGAAGAAAAGAGCATATCAATATAATCCTTCTTTATAGTTGTCCTCAGCTATGCTAAAATGATGTTCTCTGATTCACTACGTTCTTCAATAGTAAAAAAATTAAAGCAGTGAAGTGAGGAAATACACGAGGGTTGGGCTTGTAATGTATACATATAATATAATATATATATATATATATATATATATATATATATATTATCCTATGTTATTCCTATATTATCCTATATTGTATTATTATATCACGGGGAGGGAAGTAGTGCGGGCGTCCCCTTCTTTTTTTTTTTCTTTTTCTTTGTTATCTTTTTTGGTTTTGTCGCCCGCCTTGTACAGGTCGCCACGCACAGAATTGCAATGATGTGTCCAAGAATAAAATGTAGCCTATATCACCTGGGAAGATGGAGGGGTGGACAGAATGCTTTTACTGAAAATTACTTTTAATGTAAAATTGGGTGGACACTGGGTTGGTGCAACACAGTGTTTAATTAATTGAAATAATGCCTTGGAACCCTATTTCATAGGCTCTTATTTATGAACAATGTATGATTTTAAAATGTAACATCCCTTATTGTTATTTCTTTTCTTTTTTTTTTTTTACTAATACTAGTGTATTTCAGATGCAGCATCAAACTTCAGACCACCAATCACCCGCTATAATGGAAACGTGCAGCGTTGCTCAAATAATGAGCCCATGGAATGTTCACGGCAGTGGTGATATAAACAATATGTTGGGCTCTCTCGCCACGCAACTGGAGTTTGAGGGATTACACATCTCTGAGAGCAGCAACATTAGCACCACAAGCAACAGCAACAGCAGCAGCAGCAGAGATACAACTCCCATGTTTCTACATTCCAGCGGTCTAGGCGGCAACAGTCTCTCTCCCCTTGTTAACGGTGATGCATACTCCAACGAGGAAGTTTCCACCTACGGAAGAAATATCTACGTGGCAAGTCTTCCAGAGGATATTACGGATGAGAAGTTAAGGGATCTTTTCGCTCCTTTTGGTAAAATTATATCAGCCAAGGCGATGCCCCACAAAGCCACTTCCTCCTGCCGTGGATACGGATTTGTTCTTTTTGAAAGACAAGAAGACGCCGCGCGTGCTCAAATTGAAATGATCGGACACATTGTGGATGGAAATAAAATTCAGGTGCGCCAGGCCCGTCCAACCGCCTGTCGACAAATTCTCACCGACAGAAATGCCGGCCGATCCTGCCAGTGGCTCGCCGCTGCCGCACAGACCCCGCCGCGCCCCACACCGTACACTCTTCCCGCTGCCCCAACCGCGGCTGGGCAGAAGTACACCACGTTTTCTTCTTCTTCACGGACGGATATTCGGCAGCCGGCCTTTTTGCCAAATCCCATCGCATTTCAAGGGTCATTCGCCATACACAGTCCACAACAACAACACCAACAACAACAGCAGCAACAGCAGCAACAACAACAACAACAACAACCTCTGTTGTATATGGTGATACCAGTGACGACCTCGGGTGCTTTTGAAACTGGTTGCTATCCAAACTACTAAAGTTAAAGTTTAATCTGGATGTATCAGGCCTTTATTTTGATTTCCCTACGAAAAAGGGGGAAAAAAAAACATAATTAATCCTAGATACATGAGTATATAGCAACTCACGCATCTGCGTACTGCCTGACTCCCATAATAATACGCAAAAAGAGTGTAGAATGGAGGGTGTCTTGATCTAATGTTTCTTCTTATTTTTATTATTTGTTCCATTCTTGTTTACCGAAATCTCTTCTATCCCTCCTACCCCAATCTTTCTTTTGACTTTTCCTCATTATTTAAAGTAACACTTTTGGTTTTCATAGAGTGTTTTTTTTTTCTTTTCTTTGTTTGTTTCGTTCATTTTCTTATTATTATTATTATTATTATTATTATTATTATTATTATTATTATTAT